CTCTCTGGGCTCTTCCCCTCCACCCTTTCCTACCCCTCCCACCTGCAGGCCCGTTTGCACAGGCGTTTTCTGGCCAGAACACTGTTGCTCTCTCGAGTCCTGAGCACAGCTCCAGAAGCCTCTGCGACGTAGCCAGCAGCCTTTTCCTGCTGGTGGCGCTTGCTTCCTTCTCTAACTACCTGTGTGATCACAGTTGACCCTTGAATAGTATAGACTGGAGGCTGTGAGTCCACTTACATGGGTGGTTTTGTATCAGCAGCTTCCACATTCACTGTTCAACCCATTTCAAATGTGGCTTGGCTGAAGCTGAGGATGTAGAACCCAAAGATTGGGTGGGTTGACTGTAAGTTTCATGCCGACTTTGGACCGCATGAGGGCCAGCGCCCTGACCCCCGTGGTCTCTGAGTTATTCAAGGGTTAACTAATTGTTTCATGTCTGCCTGGGAGATGGTGGGGCTGGACGGGCCTGCTTGGTGTCGCTTTTACAGCACTATGCCTACGCCTGGCAGTGCCCGAGAAGTACCCAGGGGTTGTCTCTGTGCCCAGGAGTGTCAGAGTAAACCGAGACCAGACTGTGATACAGACACATAAGCGGGCCGGGCACCCCTTCCTGCACATGTTTTTTTGGGGGGGAGGGGGCTCTTGGTCGGGGGTGATGGGGCCTGGGGAGTCAGGCCCCGCATTACAGCAGCAAGCAGAGCCAGGCAGGAATCCCGGCCCAGCATCCTGTGTCCTCTAAAGGTCCCGAATTCAATGGAGCATCTCTTAATTTTGAACTCTTGGGACCTAATTTGATTTTTGAAAAATATGTGGGAGCCAAACAGCACAGCTTACTGCCTGGGTAGCCCCAGCACGTACTGGGTCTTGAGTTCTTGGAAAGGAAGTCCACCAGGCTGCAGGAGGACATGGGCAGGGTTCCGTGGCCTGGTAGGCTGCCTGCCTCCTCTCTGGCCAGGGAGGGCCAGGAGAGCTTCAGGAAGCACACTGTGGCCCTTATCCTGAGTCTCCCTGAATGGCTACAGGACCACACGTTTGTCAGGCCCACCAAGTGGCCCTGCAGGTCAAGCTCCTGGCCCAGTGCCAGCTGCCCCCCTGGTGGGCCACAGTGGCACTGCCCATTTTCTGGGGTTCTGGGATGAGGACCAGGACCCCTGGCACAGCACAAGCGCCTGCATCCTTCATAGAGGATTAACAGGCTGAGCAGTGGGGTGGTTTACCTAGATTGTGTTTTCTGCTGTAGCCGTTTCCATCTTTCCTTAAAATCCCCGCAGTGACCCACAGTATGCCAAGGGTATTAAGTTCTGAAGGTTGCCAGGGAGGCAAGGCTCATGTGGTGTTAAAATCACTTCTCCCTCTTGGGAATCCCTTGAAATAGGACAGGGCCAGCTGGCTGTGGTCCGGGGCTGCAAAGATGCCTTGTGAAGGCCACGGTCCCACATACCCAGTCCCTCTTCTTTGGCCGTGTGGGAGACGGATGTTAACTCAATAATCACTTGTGATAAGAAAAATTAAAGCTGTGAGGGCAAATGAGGGCAGCTGGCAACAGAGGGCCAGCCCTAGTCTGGAGGGGCCAGAGGACTTCCTGGAGGAGGTGCTCTTTGAAGTGAGTACTGGAGCAGACAGGAGTTGACTAGGCCTGAGGGAACTTGGTTGCTGTGCGCTTTGGAAATTGCTGGAGGCTGGTGTGGTTGAAGGGCGCAGTGGATGAGACCCCGCAGGGCCACTGTGGGAAGCTGTGGAAGGAGGCATTCTGAGTCTTTGGGGAGACCCAGAAAGAGGCTCGGGTGATGAGAGAAGCCGAGACCTTGCCACTGCAAGGTGAGTCTGGCTTCTGGTAGAGGAAGGGAGAGCGCACAGTAATGTTTAGAGGGAAGATCCAGGACTCAGGGATGGAATGTGCTGGAGTGTGAAAGGAGAGGTGGGGGTGATGGTGTGGGAGGGCAGGCTGAAATGGGTGAGGCTTTCTGTGGCTCAGATTTGGGGAGACTCTGAGTTGGGTTCTGAACGAGGCTTAAGGGGCCAGTGAGGAGGCTGGGCGGGGCAGGGACCAGGCCCCTCCGGCCGATGGATTACCACCCCCATCATCTCAGGCTCCAGTCCCACGTATGCCGCCTGGCACCATGGACATAAACTGGCACCTCCCATTCTTCCTGGGGTGGCTGGAGAAAGACCCCAACTGACCCACCTGAGGACCCAGCTGCCCCTGCTTTGCTGGGAAGCCCTGGGCCTGGGGAGAGTGGGAGGCTGAGCTCCCTAGCGCAAGGACTCGCCTCGTCTCTTTCAGCATAATTAGGTGCTTAATTGCACCGCAAAGGCCTGTCGATGCCTGGCCCGGGTGATTATGATTTACAGCCAGGCGGCCGTGCAGGGTCTCTTCTCCTGGCCTCTCTGGTCACACTGCAAGGCTGTACTTCGGGGTTCACTGGCCAAGTTGTGAGAGATGGAACCCAGCAGAGGCTTCTGCCAATCCCAAGAAGCTCCAGCAGGAGGGAGGACTGCTTTCATGGGCTGTACCTTGGAGGAGGGCGAGGCTCCCCCCAGACATGGAGGTTGGGGACCGAGGGGATGGGGTGGGAGGGGTGGAAAGACACCTATAGTTTTCCTGGCCATGGGGGGGCCTCTGTGACATGGCAAGGACTTGGTCTCTGTCACCAGCTGAGTGACCTTGGGCACATCGCATCCCCTCCTGGCCCTCACGGCAGGTGTCCCCCTGGCGGGTGCACAGCACAGGCTTAACGCAAGGCTTAAATGGGGTGTATGCAGTGCTAGCTCCTTACCCCACCCCACCTCACAGGGTCAAGTGCTTCGTACACACTTGTTACCTGCCAGCGCTGCTGTTACTGTTTGTGTTATGCCTCTTCTCTGGAACGTGTGTCAATGTCAGACCCACGAGGCTGGGTGAGAGCAGTCAGATCTGTGTTCCTGCCCACCGAGACTGAGGTCTGGGCTTGCAACTCCTGAGCCGCTGTGTCCAGTGCTGGGGCCTAGCTGGTTCACAGCTGCCTCCCCGGGGCCCAGCCAGAGTAGATGGTCACTAAATGTCTGTCCGGTGAACAGCCGGGCCTGGCCCAAGGAACCACACACCAGGGTGCTGGTGACTTTAAGGGCCACAGTCCAGCCTTTCCGGGCCCCGCGTGCTCCCATCTTCCCCTCCTCCTCTCTGGCCCTGCAGCTCCCAGGCAGAGCTGCCCGGCCTTTGCTCCCCTCTGGGAGAGAGGTGGTGGGCAGAGGGTGGGGTAGTGCTTGACGCTCCCTCCCTAGGAGCTCCTGCTCCCAGCGCTTCACATTATTACTCCATTAGCGCCTTGTAGGGTTGACAAATGAAGGATAATTAATATCCGTGAGGGAAACAGATGTTGAGGTAATTCGCTTCCCGCTGCGCATTTGCAACGGCATCTCCTAACTCGCCTGAGAGCATGACAGGCCAAAGGACCTCTCCCTGCCCTTGGTCTGAGGTGAGGAGTCAGCAGGGCTGATGGCCTCCAGCTGGGCCTAGCCCACAGCAGGGAGGGGTGCTGGTTCTGGGCCCCAGGCTAAGGGGGCAGCTGGAAGTAGTTCCCACTGCTTGCCCCTGGGGGTTTGGCCCGTGTCCCGCCTCATGCTTCTGTTGTACCTGAGCTCCATGTTATCCTGCTCTTTGGGGATGAGGACCAGCAGGGAGGGCTCTGAGTAAGGGAGGGAGGCTACCTGGCTGCCCTCTTCCCTTCTAGACCCTGGGAAGTCCTCTGTGGCCTTGGCAGGGCCCCCGGTGGGTGCCCCCCCCCCCATTTGGAGGACTAGAATACATGGAGGCGGGTCTGGCTCTGTCACTCATGGACTCCTCGTCCGTGGGAGTCATGGCTCCTTTCACCTTCGTTTCACCATCTGTAAAGTGGGTACAGTCATGGGTCTGCAACCTGAAATTGAGCATTATCTCTGGACACCACTTCGTTTGGAGAAAGAAGGAACTATAGCAAACCTATTCACTCGACACATACTTTATTATTGTTGTCATTATTTACCTGATGTCAGGCCCTATGATGATTATGCAGATGAATAAAATACATGATCCCTGCCTTTGTAGAGTTTGTAGTTTAGCCAGAGAAACAAAATCCAGTCAACAGACAATGGTTCTCAAATTGTGCTCTGCAGGGAGGAAACGGGGTGTATTGAAAAGCTCCCCGTGAGGGCATTTGAGAATGGCGCTGAGCAGTGAAGAAAGATGGGGAGCACCCAGGTAACACCTCAGAAACCCGAGTCCGAAAGAGCTTGGCATTTAGCCTGAGGTGAAGTGAGGCCAGGGATGCCAGAGCAGAATAGTGAGTGACTGGAAGCCATGCGAGTGAGTGAGCGACCAGCTGCAGAGAAAGTGCCCTCGGGGCCTGTCCTCTTCTTCATCCTGGCCTGGTCACAGGGTGATGAGCCCCTGAAGGCACTTCCTCCTCCAGGAGTTGGGCTGGGCAAGAATAGGCTGATGGCCGCCCCAGCTCCCTGGAAGGGAGAGGCTAGCAGGCCTCAGGACTGGGGCCACAGGCCTGCAGCCCACTCAGCTGCAGCCTGGGCTGGGTGAGTCTGTAATGCCAACAGGGGATAAAGTTATTGGGGAGAGGGTCACCCACTGGTGCTTGAGGACTGATCTCTGCTGTTCTGTCTGAGGCAGGGCTGCAGAAGATGGGGCAGGTTTCCTTTCACCTCTTGGTGAATAGGGGCCAAGGAAAGAGCAAAGCCTCTGCCTATCATCACCCCATTCCATAGGCCCAGCTTCCCCTGCCCTTGAAAGTAACTTTATTTTGAATTGTAGACTCTTAAAGTTGCAAAAGTAGGTGACAGAGTCCCTTGTACCCTTTCCCAGGAATTCCCAGCTTTCTCAGGAATATTTCTTACATAATGATCTAACTACTTTTTCTTTTTTTAATGAAAAAAGGTCACAGTGTTTTTATATTAAAATCATATTTATTCATAAGAACTATGATCCTACCCACTAACAGGTGGCTGGATAAACAGATGGTGGTATATCCATGCGGTGGAATTCTATACAGTGATGAAAAAAACAAACTGAGCCATGCATCGATATGAAGAAATCCATAATACTCTGAAGTCACACAAAGAACGAGTTCAAGTACAGGCAAAACTAACCTTGTGATAAAAGTCAGAGAAGTGGTTCGCTATGGGCCTGACCTAGAAGGTCACGAGGGAATACTCATAGGGTTATAAAAGTGATGCTGATCAGATAGATATATACATAAGTAGCATTTCATCAAGCTGTATAGAAAAGCTCTGTACACTTTACTATATTTAAGTTAAATTTTAACAATTTTAAATAAGATTAACAAGCCAAATAAATAGACACATATGCAAGCAAAAAGCAAAACAAACACAAATGTCACAGGCTCTCTTGTCCCCCACAACTGGAGTGAACAGTTGTTATCATCCTGATATATTTATGATCAGCCTTTATTTTTTTGAAGAAACAAAGTATTTCAGACAAAGAACTCACTGTGCTGCTATGCCAAGTCCACTGTCCCTTGGGCTCCAAGTAGACAACCGTGGTTCAGAGACATTTTTTGTGCCCTCTTTGAAACTTCTACACACACACACCTCTCTAAAACCAGTGTAGAGTATTTATATGCACTTATTTGCAGAAATAGCATCATGCTGTAGGAGCTTTGTAATGAGATCTTTTCACCCTGCTTGTCACTGAGGTCTAACTCATCTGCTGCCAAGGTTCTTTTTAACTGCTGTGCAGTATTCCATTGAATGGACATACTTTGCTTATTTATCTGTCCTTTTGATGAATCATTTCATTGTTTCTACTTTTGTTGATATTTAACCCACTCCCCTGCACACCTCCTCATGCACTAGTGGGAGTGTTTCTGGGACAGGAGTGGGATGTGGGGTCCTATGCTCCTCACTTCTTCCCCGCTGCCACTGAGAGACAGGTCAAAGTTTCTCTGTCGCCCCCAGGTGGTCAAGGTGGTGGGTAGCAACATCTCCCACAAGCTGCGCCTGTCTCGAGTGAAGCCCACGGATGAAGGCACCTATGAGTGCCGCGTCATCGACTTCAGTGATGGCAAGGCCCGGCACCACAAGGTCAAGGCCTACCTGCGGGTGCAGCCGGGAGAAAACTCCGTCCTGCACCTGCCAGAAGTCCCTCCTGCGGCCCCAGCCCCACCACCCCCCAAGCCAGGCAAGGAGCTACGGAAGCGCTCGGTGGATGAGGAGGCCTGCAGCCTCTAGACTGACACCCTAACCCGCCACCTGCCCCCCGCCCCCACGGCTGTACAGAGTGCATTAGAAGCCACTGGACTGCCGGGGCCGGGACTGCCCGTTTCCAGCCTCCTCTCCATCCCTGAGATGGCCTGTGGCCCCCACATCGGCCCTCCGCCCACCACCCCTTTTGCTCAGCATGTAAGCCCACCCAACCCTTCCTTTTCAGACCCCTGCTGTGACCCGGCTTGGAGAAGCCTGAGGACGTGGCTCAGGGCATCAAGGGGATGATCACCCCAACACTGGGGCGGGGCACCATGCTGGGGTAGCTGCCCCCTTCTGTCACCAGCTTCAGTGGAGTGCAGTGTTTTGCTTTGCTTGCTTGTCCCCCAACCTGTCCCAAGCCGGGCCGCCCAGCCTTACTTTCCCTCCTTCCTACCATCCCCTGCTTGGACCCCAGGGTGTGGACAGTGACCCCTCCCCAAATTTGGACTTGAATTTCTGAGCTGAATTAGGGCCCCACCCTCACGAAGAACTGGGGCACAGAACTCCAGGAGAGCCTTGCCCTGGGGCCCTCTCTCGTAATCAGGGTCACTCACGGGGGCCTTGGGAGGAGAGCAGAGGCTACACCGCCTGCTGGCGGGTTATTCTGTTCAGCTCCTACCTAAGAAGCAGCCTTCTGTCCCCATTCGAGGCGGGACAGGGAATCTGAACCCCCCCACCTCCCACAGCAAGTCAGAAGGAGGGCTTTCCCCTCCGACCCCATGGCCCCAGGCAGAGTTTTGCACCAGCAGGACCCCGTCCAGGGTCTTTGAGGCTCTCCCAGGAGCCCCCCTCTGCCAGCTCCCAAGGTCCCAAACCCCTTTTGGGACCCATGCCAGGTCTATCCAAGGGTCTGGGGTTCTTGGGAGCCAAGCCCCACCCCCATGCCAACCCCCTCAGTTCCTGATCAGGGGCACCACCCCTGGTGATTTGTAAATATTTCTATTGGGTCCAGCACTCCCCTTGGAACTGCCTCAAACCTCTGCCACCCCTCAGCAATGGCATGGGGGATGTGGGCGAGGCCGAGGGCTTTGTCCAGGGCTGTGTGGGTAACCCTGTACATACGATCCAATCTGTGACTACCAGCCAACCCGAATAAAGCGGTTTAAAAAAAACCTCTGGGCTGTGTCTTTTTAGGGCATTAGTGTCTCAGAGCTTGAGGGGCTTGAGGGCAAGCCCACACCCACACCTCCCTTGGCTTCTCACTCTTCCTCTCTGCCCCTCCACACACAGAACAAGAGCTGGTGGGGCACAGAGAAAGGGGAAGGAAAATGCAATTACCAGGCTCTCAAATTATTCTTTGACTTTGAGATAATCACAAATGCAGAAGACTGCCTAAAATATGTTTACACTGTTCTGGGAATAAATAAATTATAGAGCGAATAAGAAAGTAGCCACCACCTACCACACACACTATTCATTCCATTCCCCCATTTCATACCCCCTAACCACATCTACTCTGTCTTGTAAGGTAATCACCTCTTTAATAATCATCTTTACATGATGTTTTACTGCCTGTATGTATGTCATCTTAAACAATATGGCTGTGTTCTATCTTTTTGAACTTTATATGCATGGGATCATACTGTATCTGTTCTTTCATGTACCTCTGGATTTGTGAGATTCATCCATATTTGCTCATGTCTGTACTTGTCCATTTTTATTGCTGTATAATATTCCGTTGCATGTACATCCTGCAACTTATCAACTGACCCAGCCATCCTGCTGTTTGTAGGAATGTGTGTTCCAGCTGGGTGCTATGACCAACACCACATCCAGGAGCGTTCTCATTTATGTCTCTGATGCATGTGAGCACAGCTTTCTTGGGGTGGGTTTGCAAGTCCGAAGGTTAGGCAGTGCTGCACTTTCAGGACCTCATTTTCTCCTTATTATGGGTGAAGAGTCCTGCTCAGAGAGGTTAAGTAGCTCTTTCAAGGTCACAGCATTGTTGAACTCTGCTCTGCCAGGCCTGGATACCTCTCTCTCCCTATTTCCCCTTCATGCCTGGACTCTGGACTCCTCTGGTTCCCACCTGTCCTGGTTCTCCTGCAAATCCTTCTGAGAGTGGGTTGCTCTAGGGCTTCAGGTTCAGTCCTGGCAGCCAGATGCCCACTGCTCCCTCTGATGCTCCCCTGCAGAAGCCGTAAGCACCACCCATCTACCTGTCTCTCCAGAAATGCTCAAGTCAAGGCAGGACTTGCAAAGCCCAGGTCCCTCTGGGAGGGGCTGGGGCCTGGATGTCCATGGCGGGGTAGGGTAGGCTTGTACTAGAGTGATGACAATACCGATCCTGAGTACCTGCTGTGAGCCAGGCCCTGGTGAGGGCTTCTGTGGGAACTCCACGGGATCTGATTTAGCTCCTAGTTTTGTTACTCAGCTGGGAGGGTAGCTCAAGGTAGAGGAAAGTTAGAATCTTGCTTCTACCCATCCCAGATTAAACTGCAATCCAGACTCTTGCTCTCGCTGAACCTCCATTTCCTTTTCTGTAACATGGGGATGTTACCAGGGAAATGCAAATCAAAATTGCGCCATACCACTTCACATGGTTCAAAAGATAGATAAATAACAGGTGTTGGCAAAGATGTGGAGAAATGGGAACCCTCCCACCCTGCTGTGGGCTTGAAAGTGGTACAGTCACTTTGGAAAACAGTTTGGCATTTTCTCAGCACATTAAACAAAAGAATTATCATATGACCCCACAATTCCACACCACAGAAGTGAAGACATCCATCCACCCCAAGCTTGGTAGTGAACCCTTACAGCAACATCACTCATAATAGCCAAAAGGGCAAACAACCCAAAAATCTATCAACTGATAAATGGATAAATTAAATGTGGTGTCCACACCACAGAATATTATGTGGCGATAAAAAGGCTGAAATGCTGACTGGATAAAAAAGATGTGGTACATATATACAATGGAATATTACTCAGCAAACAAAAAAGAGAAACACATGTCTTTTGTAGCAACTTGGATAGAGCTGGAAAAGATCATGCTTAGTGAGGTAAGCCAGAAAGAGAAAGAAAAATACCGGATGGTTTCACTCATAGCGGGAGTATAATGGACCAGGCGAGAAAATAACAAAAATAATGAACAACCATATACCAGAGACATTTTGCGGGGGTGGAGTGGGGAATGGGATCAAAAAGGGGGGGGGGGGACGGAAGTGCATGGGATTATGGTGATGGCACACGGGTGACTTGGTGATGGGAAACCCGCGGGTTTTACAATTGAGATGGGGAAAAAAATGTACAAAATGATGTAAAAATAAACTGTTATAAAATAAAAATAAATAAAAATCACAGGTGTAAAAAAAAAAAAGGCTAAAATGCTGTGCACCCCAAAGTGGGTGATTCTGGAAACATTAAGTTGACTGACAGTGGTGGCCCAGAAACCCACATTACATGTTTTTCTATTTCTACAAGACATCCAGAACAGCAAAATAGAGACAGGAAGCCAACAGGTGCTTCCTAGGCTGGGCTTGGCGAGGAGTGGGGAGTAGCAGTGGGGACAGGGTTCTTTGGGGTGATAAAGTTGACGTAGGTGATGGCTACGCATTCTGCGAAGACCTGGTGACCGCTGCATTTGTCGTGTTACACTCTTTACATGGTGGATTGCGGCATGTGGATTAACTCTCAATAAAGCTGTATAAGACTTGAGGTGCTCCCACCCTAGTGCTGTGCTCGCCTGCCCACCCCACTCAGCCGGGAACTTCTGGCTCCTGTCAATATCGCTGTGATTCTTGCGTGGAAGCCAGAGCCACTGTGCTGAAAAACAGGCACCACAGAGGTGGCAGCGGGGGCAGTAGAGGAACAGGAGGCCTGGAGGAGGGGCGTTCCTAAGAGGGCGGTGAAGGGGGTCCCCAGGCCTTGTCCCAAAGGCTCAGAGAGACCTCTCCCTCCTGCGGCCCGCGGCAGGTCAATAACGCAGCTGGCCAGTTCCCACACAGGGCAGCAGTGGTGCCCCGAGGTGGTTTTCATGCTGTGAGGTGGGAGCTGGCCTGTGGCCCCCGGGAAGCCTCCCCCATCTTTGCTTCTGAGCCACAGCCTCCTTGCTCCTCGAGGTCCTGAATTCTGGCCCAGATCCCACCCACCCAGGTGCGGTCTCCTGGGTGGGAGACCCCATCCCAGAGAGGTCCTTTTGCCTCCTGCTGCTCCGGAGTGGGAAACATGACAACAAAGACCATCCCTGCTCCCCCGCCCCCACTCTTGGATCTTCACCCCTGGTTTCAGCGTGTAAGGCAGGGGTGACCTGTTTCTGAAGGTGAGAAAGTTTCCAGGAAGCTTCAACCCAGGGCTGGGTGCTCCCGGTGAGGGCAGGCCTGATTAAACCCCTATTCTCCCCAGAAAGCGCTGGCTGTGTGATGAACTATCTAAAGGGCCCAGACAAGTCCAGAATCATTGCGGCACCTCACAGGGAACCAGCCTGAGCAGGGCGTGAAGGAGACCTGCTTCAGGAGAAGGGAAAGTGGCTCCAGGCCCCCCTCAGGGACTCTGGAAATGGGTGTCCACTGCTCTCCTGAGCCAACATGTCACCCAAGGCCTGAGTCACCAAAGCTTGTGAGCAGTCCAGGCTCTGGGGCCCTGTCCCCACTGATCTTGCTCCAACCGTTCTAGAGTGGAGCCCCTGAGGCTGAACGTCCAACAGGAGCCCGAGGAGGCAGCTGAGAGGAACGTTGCATGCTGTGACTTTAAAGAAGCAGACACAAATCTCTACAGTGAACGCATCGTATAGGGTGTCTGCCCTAAACACGCCCGGCTCTGCCTTCTCCCGGCTCATGGGCTGTCTCACTCTGGCTGCCCACCGAGAAGCATTCCAGACACAGATGCCCCAATGTTACCCAACTGCCCACCTGCTGAGGGATGACTCCATTGGTTCTAGTTATTTTCTCTCATGGGGATAACTCTGTGAAAGCTTGGCATTCCCTGACATTTCAAGATGTAGAAAGTCCTGAAACCTGGATTTGCTAGCACCAGAGAGATGAGGACACACTCGCAATTTGAAATAGCTATCAAATTGCTCTCCCCAAACAACCTTGAAAATCTTAAAAAAAAAAAAAAAATTGGAAAAATAATATGGGCCTACGATGGGAAGTGTCTTAAACTCAAAAGAGCATGTAGAGAGATTCCGTTTGCCACCTCCCAGTTGTCCCAGAGAGACAATAATCACCACCTGGAGGTTGTTTACTCCTCTTCCAGTTACAGTTTGCACCTACATGTGAGTGAGTGTGTGTGTGTGTTTGAAGCCACAGATGAAAGGGCCCTGTCAATGGGTTAAGGTACAACTGGTTAAGTCTCAGCACTATGAAGTTATCCACAGCCCTGGCAGCATGAGTTTGATCCCCACCCAGGGAGCTGACCCACAAGGCACAGCAGACCTCTTCTATCCGCTGCTCCCCTCAGCAGTGTATTTCAGTAGATCTGCCAGTTCTGCTCCCCACTCTGTCTCTGGTGAACCTCTCACCCCCTGCACCTCTGACCTGTACCCCAGTTCTTGGATGTATAAATAAATCTTTAACAAAATAAATACACCTACAGATGACAGCACTTGCACACAAAACTGTGCCTTGATTTTTCTATTTATTGTCCTAGCATGGTGGTGCTTTCAAAAGGTCTTTTCGTGGCTGTAGACTATCCCATTTTACAGATGAACAGTGACTGATTTAACCAGCCCCCTGCGGATAAACATGCAGGTTGTTTTCCAGCTTGTGCTGCTATAAACAACATTGCAGTGAATTTTCTAGAATATAAATCTGTGCACAACTCTGCAAATATGTTTGTGGGATACATATTTAGAAGTTAGAGTTGCTGGGTCAAAGAATTTGTACATTTTTAATTTTAGTAAATCTTGTCAAATTGTCTCCATAGCAGTTGGGATCAACTGTGGTCCCACAGGCTGTCGTGAGTTTTAATTTGTGTTCATCTTACGGGTGAGTCTGAACTTCGTTTTGCTGATTTAAGAACCGTTTGTACTCTTTCCTGTGAACTGACAGTTCATAATCTTTGCCCACTTTTTTTATTGGCTTGTTGCTTGTCATCTTATTGATTAGTAGGGGTTCTTTGTGAGATGAATTGCAATTATTTTCCTGTCTTTTGTTTGCATTTTGACCTTGCTATATAAACTCTTATTGTTAAGTAGTTGGTATCTATTCATCTCTTACCATTTCTTGTGTTATATTTCATTGCTGTAAATGTACACTTTACCCCCTGAGGAATTTAAATGGCTGTCAAGTGTGAGATAGGGTTGTAGTTATATTTTTTCCTAGATATCTACCTCTTTTCTCAACATTGTCTTCCCCCAATTGATGGGAAATGTCATTTTCATATTCCTAACCCCTGCATGTAGATGGACTATTTCTCAACCTTTTCTGCTTCATTCATTGGTTAGTACCAAGCCATTTTAATTATTATAGTTTTATGTTGTGCTTTGCCATATTATTGCTGTTTTCCTCTCCTCTCTTAATTTTGTTTCCAGAAATTGCCTGGATTTTTCTTTACTTTTCCATATAAATTTTAGAATCACCTTATCTAGTTGGAAAAAAATTTTATTGTTATTTTCATTGGGATCATGTTAAGTTCATAAACTAGCAAATTGAGAATTTAGACATGTATGATGATGCTTTCTCCTTCAGGAAGCCCCTGCTGACATACACAGAACAGATCCTGGAGCTATGTCCATGCCCATCCTCCTCCATCCCACTCTCCACCTCAATTCCCACCCACTTCTCTTTTTTGTTTGACTTAGCCCTGGTTTAATTTAAACTGATTTTAGATCAGTGCACTGCAAGCCCTAGCGTTTGAATCTTGATTCATCTGGCATCCACAGGCCATCCAACTAAGCTCATGGATGGGATGCATGAGATTTGCAAACTTGCATGGAGAACAACACTTTGTCTTTATTTTCACTAACCTCCAACTGAAATTTAGCATTTTCTTCTATTATGAATGCAAACAACAAACCAGAGGCGCATTAGCAGTAACTTGTGAATTTGTCACCAACAGAATCACAAATATTTTCATATCACAAAACAGTTATTACAGGCATCTCGGAACATTGTTTACACTCATCACTACTCCAAAGTTATGGTTGTTATTAGCTCTGCCCCTAGATTTTGTTATTTAATGCATTCATAAAGGAGCAAGTTTATTCCTATCACACCTTAAAATATGTATTTCAAAAACTGCATTTCAATATAATCAGTTTGCTTTGTAATTCTATCATTTTATTTTGTGCAGTTAAAAGCTGTATTCGGAGAAGGGGTCCGGAGGTATTGCCAGGAGGTTCAGAGCTCTCGCAGAGCAGAACTAACCCCTCCCTCAATGTCCATGGCGTGCCCCTATATTTGCGGGCCAAACTGCCGCTGCTTTTCCATACTGTTGAATTCTGTATCACCAAAACTCTGAGTCTTGGGTCATACATGTGGTTCCTAAATTCTCTTGCTGTCCTATAGAATAGAAAATATCTATTGTCCGGTGCTTACTATGAGCTCTGTGCTTTAATGAGTTCTCTCTTTTAATTCTCACAACAACCCCTTGAAATGGGCAGTTTGCTGTCTCTTTCTGCGGAGATGAATGCCCAGAGATATAAAGGGGAAAAAAACTTCTCAAGGTCAGCGGCTGGTAAATAAATGAGGAACCCAGGATTAGAGCCTGGGTTATAGGACTCTACAATTAAGCACGCTCCTGCTTAACAGCATCTATTAATCAGCTGTCCTTTGGGGCCCAAGACAAATTTACCTGATTGTGTCTCATCCAGCTCATTTCTCTTTCTTGTCTACAAGGTCATCAAGTGTGATTTTTGTCAAATGTGCCAGGTTCTTGAGCCTCCAGTATCTCCCTCGGTAACTCATCCTGCTCAAGGCTCTCATTCGGATCCATGAGGTGTACCTTAAGCTTCTTGACTTGCATTTGGCACCATTTGAGTTGGTATCTGAAAGCGTTAACTGCAGGCACATTTT